GTTTGCTCAATCAAAATCAAATCTAATATTTAGGACTGCAGGATTTATCAAAAGCTGGACGGCCTTCATATGGCGCCGATGACATCAGTCGACCATTTCCTGGATTTAAAGACACAATTTCTGTAAAGGTTAAATGGAATTTGGCAGACAGAATTATCAAAAACGCCTGTTGCTTGCTCCGTTAAGCGAACTACATATACATATTCATCGGCATTGAATGTTTGCGTTTGCATGATTTATGAAAATATAAAATTTACAGATTGTTTTAAAAATTAGTATATGTAAAAAGCACAGACGCTGTGCTTATTGTGATCAGTGCAACTCAAGCAACATGATTGATTTTGTTGGATAATTTTTGTACCAACAGAAAATTGGTAAAATTAAGTATAATTTCTGGAAAACCTCTCCTCGGTGCGGAATAATAAGCAAGGCGGTAATATCAAGACGATGGCCAGGGATGCTAGTACAAAGAAGAGTGCTGAATTTAACAACGCTATCAATTGTTTGAGTGGGCACCGTCTAAAGAAGTGAAACATCAGTTCAAAAATCTAGGTAATTCATTTGCAAAGATTCTTCAGGAAAGATTAAAATATTTAGTAACAATCCCAGGAACTAACAAATATCACGAATTTATCTCCAGGGATGAGTGACGCATATATTTCAGTAAATATTCCGATCAGTTAGGCAATAAAGTATGCTTTCCTCTTGATAATACCAAAAACGGTAAATGTAAAAGGGACAACATTCACCGAAGTTCTCGTGCCAAGGAAACGGTTGATTATAATGATAAATAAGATAAGAAGAAGTTAGTGCAACCTCTCTGGAAGAAATATAAATGAAAATGAATTGAAACAGTGTTTTATTTATTCTACTTACTTGCATCAAAAGTTATGATTTTTCTTCCAAAAAAATCGGAAAACTATAACTTGAGTTTCCGGAAAAACCACCAAACTTGATTTTTTTGTTGAAATTAAAAAATAGCATATCAAAATACGTTATCAACATGATTTCAAAAACATTATTTGATATAATTTTTATAGTATTTTGATATCCGACTTTGCTCGTGTATGCTCACCAATTCCTCACCTTCATTCGTCAGTAGTACGCTAATTGGAACACGCAACTGAAAAGAGTCAAAATTGGTCCAAACACTTGTGTGCCGCCATTGAAAATCCACTATTCAAGTGACGAAAGAAACCAAATTTCGTGGGCGTAGCCTTTCGGCACTTCTAAATAGACTGAAAAAAGCTGTCAAATTCACACCGAGCAAATTGCCTTTCACTGTGCCCAGAATTAGGTAAAATTCCTAATGTAAAGTTACGAAACCGTTTCACCGATGTCGTGCACTTGCCTCGGAGATCGTTGCGATACGGGCGAACCTGTGCGAGCTCGTAAAAAAAAGTTGCGTATGGGACTTTTGGAAAAATTTACCGATTGAGGGAGGTATCGCTTTGACAATAGCTTTTAAGACTTTGATCCGGTTGATCGTGCACCTGGGTAGATCGATAACCAAGATTCAAAAGGAGATAATTAGACGTATCCATCGCCGAAGGAAGGGGTCAGGAGGGTTGAGTCGCGATTGTATTTCTTCTTGTGGTTGCACGATTAACCCAGTCAGTCCCAGCTGGGAAGTGTGGATTTATGTAACTCAACCACCCTTTTGATGTGGTTCACCGCAGTTTCGCTGGCACTTTTTTCGTGGTAACAATGTTTATATGGAAAGCCCGCGGATGGTTGTAAGTACCTAGCTAGAGGAAATAAAATATGATTCGATCGCAACTTGATCTCTTGATGTGTGTGTGTGTGGTCAAATATAGGCAACATTGTTGTTGAGTCGGGTGCTTTATTACTATATGTACCTAAAGCGCATTGGGCAGGCTTGATGACAGTGGTATTAAATGTTTTTGCCTCAATTGCTGTGGGGCCCGAAGCAAATTTCTGTGTAGTAGATTTTTCTGTCAAACAAATCGAACAAGGAAACCGAATCCAGCTAAGGTGCGGTGTGGAATTAATGGTATTAATTATGCATGCATATAACCTAATCGGAAAGTTGAACTTCGTTTCGGAGTTAGATCTCCTAAGAAACCTGGAGAAGTACCCACATTCTAATTCAAATCGCCTTTAGATCGGTAGAGTCAGCCTGTGTGTGTTGATTGTATGTATATATGCAATGTCTACAACGTGAACAATATCAGCAGTTTAATTGGCATTTTCAAGGAGCTTGGAAATGCTGCTGTCCGGTTCCAAGATCACCGGGAGACGTCAATCCCCGTGTATAGCATACCGAGTGTTATTATATGCACCGTTCGTTCGCTCGTTCGATCGATGCTTGGCAGATGGGCAGGGTGCAAAAAAGCGCATCGTTTTGGACATGATGGAGGTCAAACATCACGCGCCAATGCTCACCTCTCTTGGAACGAAACTTACTACAAAAACGCGTCTATTAGCTCCCTGCATCGTAGATCTAACCGGCGCGGGGTGGCGTAAAAGTGGAAAGAATTGGTGTTTATGCAATACGTGTAACATATGTAGGCACATATGCACGGGATTCACCCGCGTGGGGAAGATCACTATCGAATCGGAGTCCGGTTCCCTATCTCACCTTCGGCACTTTACCGTGCCTATTGCTGTATTCAAGGCGCATAAGTTATGCTAGCTTGACGTATGCTGTAGCTGACGGTGGAGGAGGATGCAGCATTCAGTAGGCTTAAAGATGCGTCTGATGAGTGAAAACAATAGGCCTCGTTTACCGGTCCGGTCAGTCACGTCGCATGGTCATTAGCTGGGTGGCTTCGCTTTTCGTTCTACGAAAACGGTGTGATGCATATATCACTTTTGTTCGAACGAGACTTTTTATCCGAAGTGAGCCATGTGACGTTGTACAAGTCTGGGGATACATGGTTAAAATCTAATCGCATCTTATTGGAACTATCACGATAGCAATTTAGTGTTTTGAGCAACATTCGTCAAGAATTGTTTGAAAATTCCGTCAGGAGTCGAGCTCTTGATAAATTTAAAGTTCCGACTCAAAAGTATTCAGTTAACAATATCGTAAATTTCAAGGCGACACATAAACGAAATTCTTAATTCTATTGGTGATGTTAACACCCATGCATGCAGACATTCATGTATGTAAACTTCCACTGGGCATTTCTTTATAAACTCTAAAGGATTTTTTTTCAGGTATTCAATACAAATTCCTTCGAGAGCTCCAGGGAATCCTCCGGAAATTAGTGAAGAAATTTAATTTTAATTAGGTTGGAAATAATAATGAGATCCCTTCATGCATTTAAAAAAATCTGGGGCTTTTCTTGGAATTTTAGAGGGAATCTCTTTAAGTCTATTGTATGAAATCTGTGCATAATACTTAGTAAACTCTGGAGAATCAGCGGCGCCGGTGGTGTAGTGGTAAGCGTGATTACCTCTCACCGCCGGGATGTTCTGAGGCATTACATCTCTGATCACGCCTTCCTTCGGAAAGGAAGTAAAGCCGTTGGTCCCCGGTTCATGAGTTGATGGGTCGATAGGTACGGTTCAGGTGTGGGAGCTGCCTCCCTGGCGTCGGTAGTATTGGTGCTCAGCACGGAAAATAAGATCGACGGAAAATAAATCAAGGAAAAAAAACTCTGGAGAATCATCTTAGTTAAATATATAATCAATTAGAAATAATTACATTGAAACTTAAGTTGGTCATCAGGAATATTTACTCTAGGGATTTCAAATAGTTCCATGGAAATTAGGAACTCATGAGTTTCCTTTAGAAACCTTGGTGATGTTCCATTTAAAATATCGTAAATGATTTATATAGAAAATTCTTAGATATGTCCAATAAAAATGAATAATAATGAAATTTACGCAATTGACATAAAATATGATAATCCGTCTACTTTATTTCAAATCAATCTCTCTAGATAATCATTCCTTTGAACTGGCACTTGACAGAAAGCAACCTTTCTTTAACTGTTAAAAGGCATTGGTCTACAACGACAAGCAGATCAAAATAAATCACAGTCAAATTTTACACAGTTTTGCCTAACGTTATCGACAACCTTCAAATCTCAACAAACAAACTTCATACAAGAGGCTTGGTCGATTCGTTAATCCAAACCATGGACCATTTCTAATCGGCTACGGTGCTTGAGGTTTGGACTTTTCCGATTTCAATTTTAATCCGAACACTGGACACTGGGCGCTGCCTAGCTATAGATCGACGACCAATTTATCATAAATATGTCGCTCCGTGAATGATTGCGATTTTCCCTAGCCCCCTTGTGTCGCTCTGTTGATCGTAATCGGTTTGTCAGTACCTAGATACCCATTTTATTGGTCCACTTTTAACGAGCAACTCCGAATATTTGCTCGATGCACAGCGTCTGGCACCGAATCTGAGCGTTCGCGGATTGAGTGATTGCTCGAGCAAGAGGTGTTTTGCTATGAGTCTATGGTGAATGGCTTGGTGAGCGACTTGTAGGCAAGAAAAAAAAAGGGAATGGCTCGACCTTCTTCTAATGGCTTCGCCGAGCGTGAAACGAGTGCACACCGCGGCTCAACATAATCAGGCCCGGTGATGGTAAAAAGCCAAGCTAATCTTTTCATAATCATTAAATTGCATTCAAATTGATTGCTTAATTTTTCGTCGCCTCTAGGCGCCCACATCCATTAAGGAAGGTGTGTGTGTGCGCGCGTAAATGCGTGTAAAACATCTTCATCGGAATTTAGACCTTTTATGGCGGACCCTAAAATTGCAAAAATTTTCTGTGCAGGATCGGTTCTTGCGTAGAAATTTTATGATTGAAAACAGTTATCAATCCTGAAGTGAAATTTACCGTACGGTTTACATTTCCTCACCCGGAAAGGTTGCAGAATTTTTCCGCCGAGATTTATCGTTGCATCAAAATTCCACGCTATAAGCAGCAAGTGTTAATCGCACTTTAATTGGTCTATAAATCAAGGGAAGGGATCCAGGCAGTAAGGATCTTGGCGCAAATTTGGACACTTACCTCATACCGTCGAAGCCATCGTCTGAGCCGTTGATCGTCAGGACTGGTGCCCGGGCGTACGCTTTGGCCACACGGCGGTTCCGCTCGAAGACGATCACCTTTGCCCAGATTTCGTCGTCGATTTGTGTCCATTTGTCCAGCACTTCCTGGATGTGTTCCTGTCGAGGAGAAGAACGAAGGGAAAGGATGAGAAAATGATGACGGTAATTGAGTGGTTATTAAATAAAATTCAAATGGTGAGAAGAAATGGTTTTGCGAGGATACAAATGCTTTCGGTGGATTCTTGCTAATGGTGATTTGGACGAAGTTTGGCTGCAAGTGGGTAATTTGAATGATTTATGTCTTTTTAGTGATCAAGTCTTAGGGATGGGATTTATTGCAGTGGTGAAGGTGCGTGATGTAACTCGCCAAACTTCGTGGTTTGGCTTTGGTGGTTAGGTTGTATCGTTTCTTGAATTTTGTGATTTATTATCCAGATCTGAACATTAAGGTCAACATTGTGGATTGATGATTAATAGTTTGATATAAGCTCATTGTTATAAATTATGATAGGTAACAAAATAATGTTAATAGTAGTCTAGTACACACTGTATTCAGATCACCGAGGTCGGTAAAATTCTAGCGGGTTTTTGAACAGCTGAAAAAGTCGGTATAATTTCAAAATGATACTGTTTACAAATGAGTCCATTGCAAATTCACATCGCTTTTTTTAATGTTTGGATGTTGATGAACGTGCAACATACTTCATAAGATGGAAGAGGTAATCTTGTTCAACTTAATTAACGAAAAGCAAATAATAAGAATTGGATTTGCATTGATTATAATCTTTCTTCATGCGTGACTGAGGAAGGTGACTAAAATATGCTGCAATATTCCAGTATTGACCTCACATAAGAAATGTATAAGGTATACCGGGGCAACTGGGACCTAAACATTTGATAGTTCAGCATTATATGCTTGTGTAACCTACTTTATCATTATTTCCAATTTGTAAGTTCATAGTAATTGGGATCTTTAAGGGTATTGAGGTAAATGCATATTCGTTATATGCATTTAAAATGGAACCCAAACCCAAAATTTCATCAATTTTGGTACACTGGAACTACTTCAAATAAGTACGATTACATTTGCAAAAATACCTTATTAGCACCCCTCAGTGTCAGTTTGTATGGGAACGAGGCTGTCAGTTTGCTAGTTTAGGTAGTGTAAAACAGTGAAGTTATTATTTTGCTTTAAATCTTGATTTAAAAATCGAGATGAAAGTGTGTGGATTCGAAACGAAGCTCTTGATGATGTTTAAAAACTGTTAAATTTTTCAAAATTAAAGAACCCAATTATCTGCACGCTAGCTCTAAAGTACCCATTAATGAGTAAAATTTTACTTATTTTGAAAAAAATTGCTTAACTCATGAAATGAGTAAAATCGATTTTACTCATTAATGAGTATTTGAAGAATACGTCATTAAATGGGTATTTTTTAATCGTCTTGTTTTTTTCTGTTAATGACTAAAAAGTACCCGTTTTAATAAATGAAGGAAACTTCATTGCGCTGGCTGTCATAAAATATAAGGGATTTAAACGCTTTTAAAAGCCGAAATCTTTAAAACACTTCATAGTTTTCACTATATATCATTAAATAGGTAATCATAAACACTAGAATTAACCGATGTACTGGAATATGCAAGTGTTGCAGTAAGTTGTGGCGATTGTTATACTTTGTGAAGGTTAAAGAAGTTGCCTCTATTCGTTGACCAATCGGATTTGGATTCCTGCGACATCGTTTTATTCTCTGAACTCTCTATTAACCCGCTAACCTGAAACGAACCGTGGATTTTAAAAATACATACTTAAATTTAATCATAATTATATTTCTAATCCTTACCTCATAGCAATCGGTTCTGGATAGCACCCAGAAATGCCCTGCTCACTTAGGTTTGCGGTTTGACTCTCATGGGAATAATGGAACTACCCGATCACTTTTTTCGCCTCAATCTACACCGGCCAGAAAGAATCTGCATATTTTTTTTTAACGCAGTATTTATTGCTTGGATTCCGACCAATTTACACGATATAGCACAGGGAAATCCGTGAACTCCCAAAACTTCGCCCAAAACACTTTGCACTTTTACTTCTCCAAACATTTGTTTATCAATTTTTATTGCAAGATTGCTTTTCCTTTTTTTGAAAACACCCACTTTTTGACAGTTTGGAACAATATCATAAAATGAATAAAATTGTTGGCATCCCTGGTTGGCATAAACACCCAGATACCCTTCTTAAAAAAATCTAAAATCTAATATTAAAAAAAATGTGCAATAGGTCTCACTTTCCTCATTCAGCGGGGGAAGTGGGATCTATATTGGGTTTTGAATAAAACTATCGAAAAATAGAGATAGGAGAATATCAACAGTATACACAATGTGTCATGAGAAGTGCTTGACGTACATGTTTTAATGTGTCATAAGAAGTGCTTGACGTACATGGATCATCCAATAATACCGTAACGCCTCGTAAAGCTAGTACTTTGCATACGAATAGGATAGAATAAATTATTTAAAAGTCTAGGGTAGCCCTTCAAGAGGAGGAGTAAGTAAAGTTAGTCAATTCAAGCTTTTTTAAATATATATTATTGTTGTGAAGTAATTTATGAATAAAGACATATACATTTCATAAAGTTCATTAAGCATACTTTTTGCAGTTTCAGTTAATACATAGTGTTCGTTTTTGCAAAATCTGCTTGGAAATAGCTTGTTTGGCTGGGGTCAGGTGAGCATTACAAGTAGGTATATTAAATACAAATGTAACGTTTTGAACATAAAATACTACAAGTGTACACAACATGCTCGAAAAGAAGCGATACAATAGGATTCAAACACATTGTTTTGAAAGGTCTCACTTGCCCAAGGCCATGCAATATACCGTGACTTTCTTTTGAAACTTGTAATTTGTTCGTGTAAGTTTCTTCAATTTACTTATGATTATGATGATCACCTCTTGCCAGCAAAACAAGCCTATTGCCAGTAGATGTTTACAAAATGCTTCATAAAGATGAGTTCGTGTTACTTTATGTGCTAGTTCAAAGTGACAGGTTGATAAAGTGTGTTTCCTGGGAACGGGGATGAAAAGAATAATCACTTCAGTGTTGGAGAAATCTTCAATCAAATGATATTTTTCCGCTATCATACGCTATCAATATCATGCGTGATATTGGAACAAAACATCATGCTTGATATTGATTTTATAAGCTCCTTCGAAACTTGCGAGACTATTCACAACATGTAAAAATTAAGCTGAGAGATGAATCGGCACAAAAATGATTCTGTTGAACATCGATTTCTTATGGGGTGTTTACATCTGTGCGGACTTGCTAGCGCTAGTGTACTCGCCAACTAGCACGAATTTCAGTTGCTTCTGAAATCTCATGCCCTGTTTACATTATGCTAGTGAGCTTTTTTGCTACAGCTAGCTCATTAGCGCTAGTGAAATAGCATAAGTTTAAACAACCCATTAGAAAAAGAAAGTATAGTTTGCTATCTCTCTTTACTCTTCACCGATGTTAGACACGAAGCCACTGCTGCCAACAGTGACAGTAATTTCGGATGTAAAGCAAAAATGATGAAACTCAAACTCATCACGTTTTGGTAAGAATTGTAGCTGGTGAGTTTTGTTAGCTTGATATTCGTAGCTACGATATCACAGCTTGTAATATCATCCGCAGTTGCTTGCTTTTTGATTTTTTGTCTATGAAAACCAAGCGTAATCTTGGGCATTAGTGAGATTTGATTTTTTTTTTATATTTTAATCACGTAATGGAATACCGAGTGGAATACAGTGTAAGCGGTAGCACTATATCTTTCATCTTAAGGCGGGGTTAACTCTAGAAATTCCTGTTAAAAATAGTTACATCCACTGTTCTCACTTACCCCGTATTTTCACTTGCCCCGGTGTACCTTTAAGCGTTTTCATTGTGTACGGGTCATGACAATTATAACTGAATCGTTTTATAAAAACAAGCATGATGTTCAAGGGCGTAGCCAGGTGTCGAGCTAGGGAGGGGCGAAAAAATATTTACTATGGAAAATATGGCCGAATGCCATTTCACCGAAAGCCTTTGTGTTGCTGAGTTTAGGGGGGAAGTCTCCTCTCCTGCCCCCCTCTGGCTACGCCTATCGTGATGTTTGATTTGTCAATGATTGCATTACAATGATCAATGAATGTTAGTTTGGAATCACCGATAATTCTTAACTCCTTAACTACTTCACACTTTTCTACCGCTTGATTTCCTAATACAATTGTAATGTCTGATGTGATTATATTTCGAATAATAGCTATTGAATTGCGTTTATGGACGTTCAGTTGCAGTTGGCCTTAGACAAGCTTGATAAACCTCATCAAATTCAAAGGATTTCAGCAAATGTTCTTATTCTGTGAGTTTGGCAGCGCTCATCCTGGGTGAGCGGAGCCTGAAATAAGGAGGAAGCAAATCAAAACTCAGTGCGTAAGAGTCAACTTAAGCGAGATATATTGTTCCCATATTGGATAAATTGGCCTATTATGGATCCTCTAGTAGCTGTTTGGCCATAATCTTTTATTTATTGTTTCAGCAATGTTCTCAATAAGGTGCAACTTTATCCTATTAGTGTGGCTGATACGTAAAATAAATAAATTACTTGATTTTACCCTCGAAAAGCTGTGTCACTAATTTAAGTTACCATTAACCTTTTATCAGGATTGCTTGCATCCCATGATGGACCGTCTAGAATAAAATCACATTTAACCAAAGAATTCAGATTATAAACAAGAGAGAAACAATAGATGGCGTTAAATAACATTTAATTCAATACGAAAAACAGGCAAAATTGCGTCGTGGCTTGTTAAATTATCATTTAAAACAAATTGTCCACTTAAGGAATCATTCAAAATGTGTGCCCTAATGTGGACCCTTTGTTTATTTGATAGCTCCTGCCGTGCTTCACATCAAAATGTTTTATTCTATTTTCAAATAGCATTTGACCAATGTTTTCCATGAATCCGCTTGAAATGAGTTGTAAAAGATGTCTACCGATACCTATATTTTTATTTTTTTTATTGGTTTAAATTTTTTTTATTTTATCTTAACTTAATGAATTATTTTTAGTATAAAAAAATTAATACAAGG